GGAATAACTTGAAAAACGGACAGACTGTTGTTTAAGCGCTACAGATATTTCAAACCCCAGAGAAACTAAGGAAGTAGTGCCGCTTGTTAGAAGGTGATGTGAAATGATTTGAAATAGCTATTAAAAATGCAAATGCTTCTGTTAGGCAACCTGTTTCCTCAGACTAAGTAATTTAATCCTATTGCTCAGGAAGTGCCATTGGTTTCTTTTCCCAATAGGTTTAGGGCACAGAGGGCATTTGGATTAATGAGAGGCAGAGATGGTGGGAAAATACTCCATTATCCTTAGCCTTTGGTAAGACTGGGTAATTAGTGAAACCTTTGCAAGGAGTATTTTTCATTTCAAAGTAATTGCAAAATAATTGTCTCATCTGGTAGGGATATCATCTCATTGATTACAATCAGGGTAATATATGAAACACCTACTTCAGAAGTAAATACACTAGAGTGGTTCTGAGTGGTCATCTGAAGGCCCCATGATTAGGTATATTTAAAACCTATACAAAACAGCACATACCATATTCGCTGTTCATTTAAAGGGGGGCAGTTGGCTTTGTTGGTGCAGATTTTGGGTGCCAGCTGAGAATTCCTTGTGCTCATTTACATCAGAATCCCTAAACCCCCTCCCCCTGAAAATAAGAAGCACATCAGTAGGCTGGGGACTTCGCTTTTAAGGGTGAACTTTACAAGCTGTAAAAGAAACAACTTTCAGGGAAAGACAGGAGAATGAGAAAGGAAGAAACAGTGATCTCAGTAATGAAGGAATAGCTTTGAGACTGAAGATTTTCGCTTTCTGTTTCTGTCACTGGCTTCCTGGCTGATCTTTACCACCAGAATCTCTCTGGATTTCTACTTTACATCTATAACAAGGAAAATACTAGTATTTGCATTTTCCCTGCTTTTTGTCTGTTTAGGAAGCAACCTCTTTGGGCAGTTTTCATGCTGTGTACAGAAAAAATCTTGGCTCTGTGGGGCCTCTTCGGACTCTTGTGATACAAACAGTAATAACGAGGCAGGAAGATGTCCAAAGGTGTGTTTTTGGAAAGATGTCCAGTAATTTTTTTTTTTTTTTTTTTTTTTTTTTTGGGGGGGGGGGGGCAAATTCCCCTGCTTTAGTAGCCAGAGAAGTTAACGCATTTCTGAAATGCAGCTTTTTGTACCTTGGCACAGTTCAGTGTGATGCTCAGTAGGCTCCGTGGCTTCTTTGTGGTAGCAGTTCTCTGTTGCGGTGGTTACCGTGAATTCATCGCTGCTTGCCATTCATGTCGACCTTAAATCAGGTAGTTTTTCCATTGCAGGGAATAGGAAATAATCAATGCTATTTTGTTAGGATTGAATAGTACTTGTGAGTGTTAACAGTTAAGCAGCCAGCAGTGTTGGTGGGGAAATCAGTAGGGTAGAGGAGATGGATGTGGTCAGTGTCTGATCATGTCATTTGATGTGCACCCAGATGTGTGCAGGCTGTTCACATTCCCCGCAGCATGTTGAATAAAACTCTTTCACACACACATGCACTTACATATCCAAACACAGGTTTCGGAGGTGTGTCAGATCAACCTGGGGCACTGGATGTTGTGACTTACAGTCTCCCTGGGCATAATTTCTGTGGGAAAAAGTTACTCTGCTAGATAGGTATGTACCTTTCATTGTCAGGCATCCCGGCGATACTGTTTTCAGCAGGGCAAACCGTGGTTTGCCCAGAGTCTGGTCTGTAACTGGAGCCGCATCTGCTGCTCCTGGGAATGCTGAGCCTTGCATCTGATCTGGAATGCCAATGAGCCCATATAAAGCTGTTAATGTCTGTGTGAGGTTTTTGAGTCCTCATTACCAACCTGATAGAAAGATAATTCCTCAGCTGCTGTTCCAACCTGTGGGATTTTACCCACTTAATTAATTTTCTTTCTTGTTAAAGAAGATCTGTTTTTATGCACCAGAAGCTGTGCTTGTCTTGCTTTTGAGGGCCTCTTCTCATGTCTATATCAAAGGCACAGAGGCCCCAGAAGTTGGGGGGTGAGCCCTAGGGGCAGCATGCCTGCAGAGGCTGAGCTTGCAAGCGCTGCCTTGTGTGCTGAGGGCAGGTTCCTGGAAGGGAGCCATGTCTGCACAGGGGAGGGGACCCTGCTTTCCTTCCCTGCTCCCCCTCTTTTGCTACCACTTGGCAATAAAATGGAAGCTTGTGACATGACCAAAGAATAACCAACTGCACACTGAATGCCTGCTGCGAGTTAAAAATGCCAGCCTACACCACCCTCCCCAACCTTTCAGCGTGTCAGCAAGCTGTCTATGTAAATAAATACACATATCAAACAATAAGCAGATGCCTTTTTAACATGCACTGTTTCAGGCTGAGATATTCCTTTCTGGTGCAGCTCATCTCGGCATCTGTCAAGCTGCTGCCAACTCCACAGCTCCCTTTCAGTTGTATTTAATGCACAAAGATTTGTGTTGTGGTAAGTATAAAATATAATGAGGAATTGGCTTGTTTTACATCTGTTTTGGTGTTACTTGTGTAGCATAAAATGTTAAATGGGAATGCTTTGTGTTCTTCCTGATCTCTGTGTCAGTATATAGTGCAAACTCTTGTTCCTTATGCTTGATTAAGTGGCTTTATACAAGCTTTTGTATGACAGTAGAAGTATACAAGGAGGAAAAAAAAAAAGGGTTGTTTGCAAAATACACCACCATTGGGGCCCTAAAGCAAACAAACACTGAAGTGGGGAGGAAGCTGTGATGAACGTTGAATTTAAAATAAAAATGAGAAATGCAGCTTAACTCCAGCAGAGTATCTTGTACTCCTTAAATCAAACCAAAGTCAGGAGCCACAGAGTCTGAAGCCCCACGGGTGTATCTTAGTGCAGTGTTGTGGAAGGGGCACCAGTGAGCTGCTAGGCTGGGTCAGATCTTGTCTAATCCAGGGTCTTGTCTCTCATAGCAGCCAGCAGTGATTAGAGAGAAGGTAAATCCAGGGCAACTAACCAGGAGAAATTCCACGTTAAGCTTTTGTTTATTTTTGTTTTCATATTAAAAATGTATTGAGCCCAGATGACCCGTAGCCCACTGGCTCTACTTGTCTTTTGAAAATTCACATACAGGGCTAAAGGAGTGTTGGATCTCGTGGTGCTGCTGTCCCTCTCTGCCCCTCTGCAGCAGTCTCAGAGGAGGTGCCTGGTTTTTATTGTCCTTATTCACGTTTCGCACACGCAGCTGCTTTTGGTCTAGTCAGATACATAGGAATCACGTTTAAAAAAAAAAAAAAAAAAAAAAGATCAGACTGTTTATGCAGGCAACAGGTCTTGAAGACAGCTCTCTCTAAGCCTTTTCTGAGGTCTGCTGAGAGAAGGGAGAATATTCCCGCTGCTTGAGACACTCTCAGTTGGATTAGATATAAACAAAGTTCGGGGGGAAGGGAGAATTTAGATGACCTGAAACATCTTCTGTTTCTTAGTGTTCCTTGAATAGTGGTGATTGAAATCTCTCACCTGAGCGAGTATGCACAGAAGACAAAATACAGTATTAGTGACCCTAAATGTGTTAGAGCTCTCTGCTTCTGATCACAGTGCTACATCGGCTGAAATAGTAATAGGGAATGAATGGGTTTTGCCTACATGGATGGCACTGTTCTTCCATAATGGAAAGGGAAAATTGGTTCTAAAAATGTCATTGTAAATATCAAATTTTTGATGACTCTCAGTGCACCTGCCTGTGACGCTTTCTGTCTTGTGGTTGCAGAGCACTTTACAAACCTGAATAAATTAATCTTTTTTTTCCTCAATGTTTCCAAAGGCTGGGAGTTCCTATCCAGTCCTGCGTGTCTGAAAGGACCAGGGCTAGATTCAATAGGATAGGTTTCTGTTGGGCAGCAGACACTTTCTCCTGTGCAGAAGCATATGGAGGAGTTACTAAGCGCTGTGATACAGGGTGGGCACTGGTGCTCCCTGGTGCTATGTGTGGGCAGTTGGCATTGGCTTTGGGGTGCTGGAGAGGCTGGGCAGGGCAGGGGGGTTTGGTTTCAGAAGAGAGTAAAGAAACAAGGTAGGCTAGGGAAGAGAGAAGTAATACTATGAAATGGATTCGTGTGGCGCCAGCTTCATATCTGAATTGGAGCTGTCAGGAAGAATGAGATCCAGACTCGGTGCTGTTCTCCAGAGAGAAGCCGCTACAGAACGATTGCTCTGTTAAGTGCTGGCTCCACCTCTGTGCCCCAGGTCTGGATGACTTCGGCAAGGAGAAAACCGACAAGATCTGGCATGATCTCTCCTCCTTTCCCACTGGCCCTTGCTCCAGGATCTGATTTACTTTCTTTTGCTTGCTTACTGCTTTCATCACCTGAGCATCTTCCACTGAACCCTGCCTCTCCTGGCTATGTTGGTATCTCCATCCCATCTTTACCTCCCTCTCAGCTCCATCACCTTGCCCTCTTTTTCATCCTCAATCTTTTCTGGCTCCCTCTCTTCAGCATACAGTTGTACTCTTAACATCTATCCAGTAAGTGAATATGTGTGTGCGTATTTGTTGCATACAATACAGGAAGGGGTGCGTGTGGGTCTTAATTCAACTACTTTTTTTTTTTTTCACCCACTACTCCATCCTCCATTCTGGAACTTGCCTTTAGGAGACTCACACATCAGTTTGTGGTGTTCCTGTCCTCCCCTGTTTCCCTGGTGACACAGGGGAGCAGGAGGGGAAGATGCAGAGCAACTCTGTTGCTCCTTTCTTATTCTGCTGGAAATAGTCCTGTCCTCCTGCCTTCTGGTCAAAGCCCTTTTCAGGCCAATCTAAATGGACTGGAAAGTAAAGAGGAAGATTTTTGCCTTCAGTCCAGGCCTTGCTAGGGTCTTCAGGGTCACTGTCAGATGCTTCTCCTGACCGCCTTTAGTTGTGCAAGAAAAAGCTGATCTTTACCTAAGCAGGAAGAAGCGAGTAAAGCAAGGTCACGGTCTTCTCCTCGGGCCCAGTGTGGAGGTATGTGTCTTATGTATTCTTCGTTGCTGTTTCTGACAGGTTGACCAGCCTGGATCCTGGAGCTAGGGACCTGAAGCAAGGATCTTGACTGATGCGTGTTTACTACGACCTGACTTCTTGAGGAGAACAAGGACTTCTCTGAAGGGCTGTCCCCTCAAAGCAGCAGGCAGGTAAGGCAGGGAGTGCTCCTCACACTCTGGCTCAGCTGCTGCTGGGCTCTGGGTCTGCTGCAGTGGATTGAGCTGAGGATTTCATCCATTCCTTTGGCTCAGGAGGGGCTTTGTCGTGCCATGTCTGTAGGGGTGAAACCTTACATTGTGTTTACAGCACGGGAAATGTTTTTCAGGAAAAATGTACTTTCAGAGGATCAAGACTGCTCATATGGTTGAGATAAATATAGGCTAAAAGTGTGGGAGGAGTATGCCGAAAAAAGAAAATTGTTACATATGAGTTATCAATAAAACAATACTTAGTCCTCATGTTCTAAAATAATTTTATATTGAAAATTACCTTATTTTAAACAGAAAGTTTTTAAGAAAAGGAATAAGGAAGTGTATGTTTGGGGGAAGGGGTTAAGTAAGAAACTAATTTAATCATTTTGGTTTTGACTGGGAAAAATGTTTCAGGTCATCCAAAAGTGAAAAAACCAAACAGAGAAGCCTTGCAGTTCTAATCACTATGACTCATGGAAACCAGATCTAGAAAAGATGAGGCCCTTTAGTCCAAACCCTTAATCCCCTACTAGTATGTAACATCGTTCCCAGCAGCGTCTACCAGTCCTGTTTTAAATGATGGGATTTTCCCTTGTCCCCTTGGGATAATATTGTACAGACTAATAGAATTAATCTGCTTACTTCTCTTTCAACCCCTGACCACTGCAGATGCAATTAGTAGTAGGCAATGGGAGGATTCTGTTTCCTACGCTGTATTACGAAGGCTTAGGTCTGTATTGTGTTAAACCAGACGTGAGTTGCGAGCCTGTATGCATGAGTGTGGCTTATCTGTCAGTACTCATTACAGCCCCATAAACGTCTCTGAACTATGGAGTTCTCAGACTCACAGGAGCTTTTCTACAGTCCTAATTCAGGATCTGATAAGGCACAGACTAATGTATTTGAATGCCTGTGAGAAAGATAGTATGATTGGAAACTAAAGTGAAATGCAAAGTCATATGCTGCTTGTGCTAGAGACTCTCAGAGGCAATTTAATTCACCATTTCTGGAGCATTCTGTGGCCTCATTTTTGACTTCTGTCTTGGACAATTTAGTAGGAACTTTATGAAGTAGCTTTTTGCTGCATGTGGTGCTGCTGGAGGTACCGCTGCACCTTTCCATTGGTGAATTTCAGGTTTTTCATAGGTGAATATTGTGAGCTTTCTGCTGATGTTTACTGAAAGGCTCCAGTCAAATAGCTAGATGAAATAAGTTTGAGCTGGAAAATCATAGCTGGTCTTAATTTGGTCTGCCTTCTCTTAACAAAGTTTACTCCTCAAATTTGGGAATGTTTTAGTAGTGAGAACTGTTAGTCAGTTTCTAAAGCACATGGATGGACTTTCAACCTTTTTACACCTGGACACTACAGCAACAGCTGATCTGTACAAACTCTTTATGTGGATACTTGGATTCATTCTCTTCCGAAGTGGATTAAAAACCATATCCTAATACAGAAAGCAACTGCAGTGTAATTGCTAGTGGATGTTGGAGTGAGGCTGCAATGTGAAGTGGGGCCAGTGGTCCTGAAAAACCGTGCATGTGGCAGGCTTCCACATGGGCTGTGTCCACTGGCACGAAAGGAGAAGGTTACAGTCCTGTTCCTCCTCCCTCCCAGTAAGTGTCTGGATCTAACGTGACATAGCTTTTCTGGGAATATTTCCTCAAATAGAAAGCCTAAATATGAACTTAGCCACTGGTCCAGCATTTCATTATCAAGATAAGTTAATTAAGCCTATTAAAATTTGACATTTCCAGTGTTTGTCAGATCAGAATTTCTTAAACGCTGACGACTGAGTTGCACAGCTTTGATGGGTTCAGTGAGCCCAGCGCTAATTTGCCCATTGTTTTTAATCAGTTGAAATTCTTTTCCAGCTTGGTGCCTGGCTGCTTCATGTGGTTTTGTAGCATATTTGAAAGGATGGGGAGGTGGTGACTGAAGCAAGGTGTAGTGACCCGTAGCACTTTAGATCATCTGCAGCTTATGTTCCCCGTCCCTGCTTTGCCAGTCAAGCTTTGTTCCAGTGAAAGTGTCAGTAAACCCAAGGCAGATAGGTACCGTTTCTCCTCTACTCTTCCCTTTCCCTTCCCCCTGAAAGTTTATCTTGCTTCTCACTTTTTAAAAGCTCTGCATTAGCTGGGGGGCCATGAAGTAAAAGGCATGCTTTAAATACAGATGCTGGTGATAGTCCTTTCAAAAGCTGCATTTCTCAAGCTGGGAGCTATTGACCTCTTTCAGTGCAGTCACAAAGAAATCCAAGAGGAAATGGAGGGTGAGGGCCAGCAGGGAATATATATATATCTGTCTCTTA